TTCAATTAATATTTTGATATGCCCACTGTGCACAGGGCCCCGTCCTAGTTACTGGGGATACAAAAAATGCAAAAGTCCTTAAACTCAGAGAGCTTACATTCTATTGGATACAAAGGGATAAAATATTTTCACAGACAAGTAAGTGCAAATGAGGAGGGACAGAACTTTAGAAACTAAGTTTCCTGTCAGAGGCGACCCAATAGCTGAGACATGAAGGAAGCTTGAGATTCTAAGCAAAGATGTGGTAGGACATTTCAAACATGGAGGATGTCCTGTCTAAAGGTACCTTGATAGGGATAGAATTCTGAATCTGGGGAAGAAGCAGTAGACCAGTTGTGCTGGAATATAGAGTACATGTCTGAGAGCAAAGTGAAATAAATCTGAAGAGGGAGGTTAGATTCAGATTATGCAGGACTCTAAATATCAAGTTGAAGAAGTTATTTTGTCCTCAGGGCAATAAAAGATCTGTTCAAGGCTTGAGCAAACAAGTGACATGGTCAACCATGTGCTTTAGGAAGACCATTTTTGTAGGTTTTTAGAGGACAATTTAGAGGAAGGAGAAGCTGGACTTCTAACTAGGGGGCTTCAGAGGGAGTACAAACCTGAGTTAGGGTGGTGGCTGTGAGTGTACCTAAGAAGAGATGTGATATATGTGGTTGATATCGAAGTGGCAAGATTTGACAACTGACAAATTGGGATGGAAAGATATAGAGAAGAGTAGAGATTAATTTCAGGATCTAAAGGTCAAGAATATGAAATGAACTAATGAAAAAACGTAAAGGAAGGAAGTTTCACAACATCAGATATTAAACTATAGTACAAGGCAGTAATTATCAAAACTATCTGGTAGAGGCTATGAATAGAAAAGTAGGTCACTGGAATAGAGTAGACATAGAATTTACATCAGCAAATAACTATATTAGCCTTCTGTTTGACAAATGTAAGGACTTAAGAATTGAGAATAAGAATTAATTACATTGTAAAACTTGTTAGGAAAACTGGAAAACAGTCTGGTAGAAATTGGGAATACACCAATATCTTACACAATTTACCAAGATAAGAAGTGTTATAATGACATTCTTTCTGAGTATCTTGATATTTTATACTCTTTCTTACTGTAATTAGAAGAGAAGAAAAATGAGTTCAGAGTTGAGAGTAATAAGAACATTCCAGGAAAGAGTAATATTTAAGATAATTTCTTTTATTTGGAACTTGCAAAGCATCAAGAAATGCAAACATTTCAAGGTAGTTCAGTTTTTAAAGGAAAAATTATACATATGTATATGTATGTATGTGTATATATATGGATGTGTATGTATATATATATGTATATATATAATTCCAGTTGTACCTCCCTTGTGTCTTTTTTTTTCATTTTGGAATGCAAATGTTGTTGTTCCTTCCCTCCCTTGTTTTCTATCACTACTCACTTAGCTACCTCTCCTGACTCAGTAGAAGCCGTCCCTTGTAAGTGATATGTATAGTCAAAGAACACAAATCAACAGACTCCCCATGTCTGAGAATGCAGGTGTCATTCTGTACCTCTAGTCCATCACCTCTCTGCCAAGAAGTGATAGGTATTACTTTCTCATTATTCTTTTCAGGAAGTGATTTGTCACTATTTTGGTCCAAGTTCTCAGGTCTTTGAAAGTAGTTTCCTCTCTCACGATTGTTATAGTCATCACATAAATTGCTCTTCAAGATCTGCTGAGTTCACTCTGCATCAGTTAATAAAAGCATTTCCATATTACTCCAAAGCAGTCATAGCCATCACTTCTTATGGCACCTAAAATTGTCACTAATTTCCTACATTACAGTTTGCTCAGCTATTCTGCAATTGAAGGATGCAACAAATAAACAGAATAGGGTTATAGCAGGGTGAGCAAGTGCTTCCCATTGTTTTACATAGAAACAGCAGAGGTTCCCATGGGAAATTTCCCATAGTCCTTCAGGCTAGCAATATCTAGTCTAATGATAACCTTTTGCAGTAATACCGAGTTGTAGGAGCAAAATACCATGAGAAGACTTAGAATCCAGATTCCCCATTCCTTCTCTTTGTGCTTTTGGGGCACAAGGATCATCTTTGAAACTAGGACTTTCCTCATAGTCAATTAGCATGAGGCAGATAACATCTTCATCTGTGAAAAGTGGTCCTTTGAGACATCAGGAATCACAAAGCAGACTCAGTTTCTTTGCAAGGGGTTAACAATGGTAGTTGGTTGGCTGAACAGCATTTACACATTTGGATATAGTCTGCACATATCATAGAAAGGTTCCTATGTTGGGAATTCAGCTATTTTCTATACCCTTATGGGTTTTTTCACTTGTTAAAATGGAAAAATTGGCAAATTATAGAGTATTGTTAGTTCACAGGAAAAAATTTGGCAGAAACAATTTTATTCATCTCTACTTTGCTTATAGGCACCCTTCCAAGGTGCATTGGAGCAAAGTATTGGAGTAAGATAATAGAAAGAGCATGTAAGAGATGGCCAGTGAACGTTTCCTGAGTACACCAATAGACATATCCAAATCTTAGTCCTCTATTTAATTTTAATCTCCTTTTCTTCTGCTTAATAGGCACCCCTTCCAAGACAGATGTCTGACAATAATTGCACTGCTGTGACAGAGTTCATAATTTTAGGGTTAACAGATGATCCAACCCTTCGTGTCATCCTTTTTGTGATATTTGTAGGTGTCTATTCTGTCACCTTACTTGGTAACCTTACCATAATCATATTGATCAGAAATAGCTCCCAACTTCACACTCCAATGTACCTTTTCCTCAGCCACTTGGCTTTTGTGGATATGGGATATTCCTCATCTGTCACACCTGTTATGCTCAAGAACTTCCTTATGGACAAAATCACAATCCCTCTGGAAGGCTGTGTGGCCCAAATGTCTTCTGGAGGCACCTTTGGTACAGCTGAGTGCTTCCTGTTGGCTGTGATGGCCTATGATCGCTATGTGGCCATCTGTAGACCCCTACTCTACTCTACCAACATGTCTACTAGGCTCTGCACTCTTTTGCTCATCATATCCTACCTAGGTGGCTGTGTAAATACTTGGATTGCTACTGGTTGCTTATTGAACCGGTCCTTCTGTGGACCCAATAAGATAAATCACTTTTTCTGTGATTATTCACCACTTTTAAAGCTTTCCTACTCTGAAGATAATTTTTCTGAAATTCTTCCTGCTGCCTGTACTGGGTTAGTGATTGTGATCACAGTGTTAATTATCCTAATATCTTATGTATACATCCTCTTCTCTGTCCTGAAGATAAGGTCCACTGAGGGGAGATCCAAAGCATTCTCAACTTGTACCTCCCACCTCACAGTAGTCACTCTGTTCTATAGGACCATTACATTCATATATGTGATGCCTAAGTCCAGGTATACTACGGATGAGAATAAAGTGGTGTCTGTTTTCTACATTGTAATGATACCCATGTTGAATCCCCTGATCTACAGTCTAAGAAACAATGAAGTAAAAGGGGCCCTGAGAAAATTCATGAGTAAGAAATATCTTTTTTTCATTAATTCAACTCAATAAATATTATTAAGTACATACTATGTCCCGGACACTGTGATAGGTTTAGGGACATAACAACAGAAATGAAAATGTCTTTTTTTCATAAAGATCTAATCTTTTAATATATATAATGGTTAAAATTGAGTGACACAAATTAATGGGTTTTAGAAAAATATATTTTCATTTTGGTGGGTTAAATTTATGAATTTAAAGGTTGATTGCAAAGGTCTGAAAATACATGTGATGTTCTGCAAACATGGACCTCCCACCTCTGCAAAGGAGTATGGATACGTATCTTCTCACTGCTCCTTTGGAACCATGATTGTTTTTTGGAATTTTATAATACTCATTGTCTATTGATTTGTCGGGATTGTTCTTTCCATTTACATTGCTATAGTCACGGTGCTGTGTTCTTGGCTTTTCTATCATTACTCTGTAACAAATCATGTAAATATTTTCTATTTTTCTGTATTAATCATGTTTGTTGGGTTTTTACAACACAATAATTTTCCTTTATGTTGAAGGCATTCTGGAAAGATGGTGGAGTAGGTCAGAAATTTCCAGGCTCTTGAGCTTTTCTCCAGAAACGGACAGAAAATTGCCATGAAATGGATGTAGAGCAGCAAAAGTATAGAAGGGTAAAAGAGCTGTCCTCCTAAAGACAACTTGAGGGGACCTCAGAAAAGACAGGATCTCCAGGCTCTGAGGTTTGGCCTGAGTGAAGCATAGTCACCTCTAGGCTCACTGTGCTCAATCAACTAACAATAGGCCATGGAACAACTAGGTCAGGAAGCAGACTAGGCCTCAGGAAATTTCAGCTGACTAACTTTTACCTCATAGCCTCGGGGACTTTCACCTCATGAACTTTTACCTCATAAACTTTCATCTAAGGAACAGCAAATTGTTGAATATGGGAAGACTTGAAGGACTCCCTTTCTCTGGTTGTTTCCAGATGCTAGGCCTAGGAGTGCTGAACAGAAGTGATCCCAGGCCGTGGCTATAGATGAAAAGGAGTGAGCACATGCTCAGCAAGTGCAGTGCCAGTACCTTAGAGAACAAAAACATTTTTAGCACAGCATGACTGGGGTCACTAACTATACCTTATGGGAGGAGAAGAGTCCCTGAGGTTGAGCCTCTGAACAGAATTCTGAAAATAACAGTAGAGAAGACCTGAGCCCTAAGACAACATTATCCACAATTTAGGATTAAAACTTGATTATAATAATAAGCTGCTAAAAATAAAATAAAATAAAATAAAAATAAAAATGAATAAGCAAAGGAAAAAGAACCCAACCATAGATAGCTACTTTGGTGTAAAAGAAGATCTGTGTTCATATTCAACAGTGTTAAAAGGAACAATTATGTCATAAAAATGAGGTGTGAAAGGAAGAACTAATACAGAAGAAGCAGGTGGGAATGGAGGGCTAGTAACATTGGAATCATACTCTCATGTGGGTTGAAGGGGGAGCAACATGTACAGCTGCAGGAGCGTAGAAGTCTTCCGAACTTGTAGAGAGGTGAGAAAACTGGAGTAAAGGGTAGAGAAGGAATTTTTAGAAGGATATATAAGTTAAGATTTAGGAGGATGGGGGGAGAAGATAAGGAAGGAAATTTTGTAGAGGTATTTGGATTTAAGATTAAGAAAGCGATGGGGGAGAAGATAAGGAAGGAACTCTTAGAGGAGTGGGTAAAATAAGGAATAAGAGGGTAAGAGGAGAAGATAAGGTAACAGGGATTGGGCAAAAAAGAGAAGCTGAGAAGGAAAATAGTGAGTAAAAATAAAATGGAGGGAAATTCACAAATAGTAATTACAACTTTAAATGTGAATAAGATAAAGTTGCCCATAAAATGGAAATGGATAGCAGAATTGATTAAAAACAGAATTCAACAATATGTTCACAAGAAATACATTTAAGAATAAGAGATACACACAGAGCTAAAATGGAGGGTTGGAGTAGAATATATTATGCTTCAGATGATGCAAAAAAGGTAGGGATAGCAAAGAACTTTATCAAATCTATAAGAATATGAGCCATTCCCCAATGGTCAAAGTATACAAATAGGCTGTTTTCCAATTAAGTAATCAAAACAATTTATAGACATATCAAAAATGCTTTAAATCATCATTGATTAGAGAAATGCAAATCAAAACAACCTTGAGATATCTTTTTATACCTACCAGATCAGCTAAAATGACTGAAGAGGAAAGCAACAAATGTTGGAAGGGATGTGGAAAAATTGGGACACTGATACGTTGTTGATGGAATTGTGAACTAATCCAACCATTTTGGAGAGCAATTTGGAATTAAGCTCAAAGAATTATTAAACAGTCTATACACTTTGACCCAGCAATATCGCTACTAGGTCTATTTCCAAAGATGATTAAGGGAAAAGGAAAAGAACCTATATGTTCTAAAGTGTTTATAGCAGCTCTCTCCATGATGGCAAAGAATAGAAATTGAAAAGATGTCTATCAATTGGTGAATGGCTGAACAAGTTGTGGTATATGATTATGATATAATGGTACTGTGCTCTAAGAGATTATGAGCTCAGTGATCTTAGAAAAATATGGAAAGACTTGCACAAAATAATGAAGAGTGAAATGAGCAGAACCAAGGGAACATTATATACATTAACAGAAATATTATTTTAAGAATGACTTTGAGTGAATAAGTCACTTTGACTATTATAAATACCCAAATTAACTATAAAGGACACATGAAGAAAGATGCTATCTGCATCTAGAAAAATAACTGATAAATAGAAATATGTACAGAATAATTTTACATACATACTTACATACATATATATACATACATATACATATGTATATATATATACCCATTGGTGTCTAATGGTAGCCATATCTGGGGGGAGGGAAGAAAAAAAGTAAAAAAAAGAAGAAAAATGACAGGATAACTTTATTGAATATTTAAAAGGAATGACAAGTTGTACTAATAGATTTGCAGTTTCATGTGAAATCATCTTTTTTATTTTACCTGTTATGGAAATGCTTGTTTTTTTAATAAATTAAAAATAAAATAAATAAAAAATATTCCATTATGTTCATGTGACGTAATTTGTTCAGCCTTTCCTTAATCACTAGCCATCTGCTTTGTTTCTAGTTCTTTACTACTACAAAATTGATGCTATAAATATTTTGGTGTATATGGGGAATTTCCTTTTATGAATAACTACCTTTGTGGCACAATACACCTGAAAAAAAATGTCTTCTTTCTCCTATTGGATAGCTCTCTGGGAAGGATGAGGAGAGAGAGATGTTAGAAGAAATTTAGATCATGAAAAATAAAAGAAATCAATAAAGAATCATTTAAAAAAGAAAAATTTCTTCAACCTGGCTACTTCCTACCTTTACAATCTTACACTTTACTCCCATTCATGCAATTGTACAATCCAGCTACCAGACTCTCTGCCTTTCAACACACATGACACTCCATCTTCTGTGTCTTTACACTGATTGTCTCACAAGCCTGAAATGCTTCGCTTCCTCACCTCTTCCACCTAGTTTCCTGAGATTTCCTCAAGACAACTCAATGCCCACTTTCTTCAAGAAGTCTTTCCTGACTTAACTTCCTCTCTAAGATGACCTCCCATCTATTTGGCCTATAATTTGTATGTACCTGGTTATTTACATGGTGTCTCTCCAAATGGAATGTGAGCTCCTGAAAAGCAGGGACTATTTTATTTTTGTTTTTGTTGTTTTTATTTTTCTTTGATTACAAATAATAGCATAGATCCTGGCATATACTAGGCCTTTAAAATCCTTGTTGACTGACCACCACTCCTCCAGCTATTCTCCAGATTTTCAATATTTTGCTAAAATGAAGCCAGGCCTGAACATGATCTGGTCTGATCAAGGCAGAATCCAGGCAAATTATCAGCTTCCTGATTTTTGATCCTATTCTTCTCTTAATGCAGCCTAAATTTCTATTAGGTCTACTACCTGACATGGTGCACTCTGCAAAAATGATTACCTTTCCCATTGCTTTGTAATTTTAATTTTTTCAAACTAGTTTAACACTTGACTTTGATTGTAGTTCTGCATTGTCTATTCTGTACTGTAGTTCTACTCTCTCTAACCTTTTACTCAATATGATATTATTTGGGAAATCACTTCTTTGTATAATCTGATCATAGTCACCTCACAGAATAATTTGAAATCTGACCATTTGTCTCTTTCTCTTTTTTCTTCATAATTTCCCTTTACATTATTGTGCAGTTCATACATTGTCTTGGGGGTACTTATCCAACCTCACACACACATTCATGAGTCAGGACCCAAAGAGCAAGGCTGCCCTCACATGTGGACTCCAGTATCCAAACCTCTGGCATTTGACTCTTCTTACCTTTTGAAACTCACATGGTCTCAGCCTTCTCTAACAGTCCTTTCACCTAAGAAAAAGTCATAATAGACACAACAAAGTAGGAGCAATCACAGGGCCAAGTGCGCATGGATTCATAGCAACCTGGGTGGAGAGATGAGGCCACTGACTCAGTGTCTGGAATGTTGGCAATTTTGCTAGTTGGAGGCTTGGAGAAACAGTGACTGAACTTACAACTTTTCATCTAAAAAACCCTTTAAAGCTGAAAAAGAAGGAACCATACAGACCTTTGGGGACAACAAATCATACTATAGTCTTAAAATGATTTAATTTTTGTTACAAACATTGCAAAGAGATGGTGAGTGGAGTTTTAGGAGCATAAACTGAAACATTTTGAGGAGCAAGAGCAGTACTGTTCTCCCTATGGTTCCAGATAAGGCAAGTGAGCAGGTGGAATGGAGTATGATGGAGGTATGTATGGTGGCAAGGTAGCTCTTGAGGAGATGGCCAGGCAATGATGTGAGGAATATCTGGAGCTGGTTTGGCCTGATATAGTGGAAGAACTGAGGCACTTACTATTTTATACTCAAATGGAAACCCTTACTAGGAAAAATATTAATGTTGAGTAAAGTTTATTATAATTTTGTTAACTTGAATGTTGAGTTCAGTTTTCTTTGAAAACTTCCGTAAAACTTTTTTAAAAACTTTTTTATGTTGCATGGTGAAAGTTCAACAACTTTTCTCTAACTTGTGAAAACAAATGCTGAATGGACTATGTTCTTACCAGTGAACTCAATCCACAACAAGTATTCAAAATGATTATTAGCACCTGTATTGAGGATACTGCCCACCAAGATATAAGTTACATTCCACAGTCATTAAATATATTTCATCCTTAGGCTAATTATGAGAAAATACTCACTGAAGGCTTTCCTTCCAATTTACTGTAACATATTTCTAAATCTGCAGAGGCAGTTGAGTATATGACAAGGCTGAGTTGCCACTCTTCATTATGGTACACAAAATGGATAATTTTTATCACACAAAATTAATTTTTTGCATAAAAATACCCAATGCAGCCAAGATTAGAAGGAAAAGCAAAAAACGAAAAAAAATTTAAAGCAAATTTCTCTGATGAAGGCCCCATTTTTCAAATATATAGAAAACTTAATCAAATTTGTAAGTGTGAGTCAGTCCCCAGTTGATAAATGGTCCAAGGATATGATCAGGCAGCTTTCAGAGGAAGAAATCAAAGCTATCTAGAGTCACATGAAAAAAATGCTCTAAATCACAATTGGTTAGAGAAATGCAAATTAAACCAATTCTGAGGTACCACTTCATAGCTATAAGACTGAATATTATGAAAGAAAAGAAAAAATGACAATGTTGGAGGGAATGTGGGAAAATTGGAACACTAATGTTGTGAAGTGATCCAAACATTCTGGATAGCAATGTAGAACTATACCAAAGGAGTATCAAACTGCATACCCATTGATTCAACAATACCACTATTAGGTCTATACCCCAAAGAAATCAAAGAAAAAAAGAAAGGACCAATACCAAGCTCCAAAACCTCTTTTCCCTTCCATGACCACAGAGTGAATAATCCATATCTCCTTATCTCTGGCTGTCAGCTGACTCACAGAATATGTCAACTGTCTTATGGCAAATCTCTGGCATATATCATAAATATATATTATACTCCAGAGAAATTTTATCAGGAACCTTGAAAAGATTGTGAATACTGTCTTTGCACATGGATGATTATCCTCACTGTGAATAGTACCTCTGATCCAGGATCTGCAGTTTCTGCTAAACTTAGTTTCATAGATGGTGTTTTCAACCTCAATTGTGCATATGTGTAATCAGTATGGGTCATAGCCTGACCAAAATGAACCTGGTGAAGTTATGGGGACCAGTTTTCATATCTAGTCAACATGGTCACATCCACAATTGCCACATGGTGATCACAGAACAATTTTTGAGAGCTTCCATGACAGATCATACTGGTTTGGCTATGTTGCTATCCAATCTTGTTTTTCACTTTTTCAAAATCCTGGATAAACATAGACAAAGGAAAATAAAAGAAGGCCTTTGAGAATTTAGAGAATTTCTCACACAACTCATCTGTGTGTTTGTAATTTTCTCAATCCCAGTAGATTTCAAAAGGCATTTTTAATGATATAGGCTATATTGAGAATTAAGGTGCTCAAGGGGTTATAACTCAATGCTGCTAAACTCAGCATAAATACAGTGCTGCCATGCAAAGATAATAATTTGGAATCTAAAGTTATCATCTTCTTGCATAAGTAGGTACCACTGCTGTTCTTGATTTAGCTATAAAAATACTTAGATATAATTTTTGATTTGTAGCTCATTTCAAGGGGGGCCTGTCTATTCCTCTAGCCATGCCAGACTTTGTATTGATTTCAATTTTACAATTATAACATCTCTCTGTCTCTGGTTCTTTTTCCTTCTCTATCTCTGTCTCTCCAACTCTTTGTCTGTGTGTCTATGTCTGTCTGTCTGTCTTTGTCTCTGTCTTTCTGTCTGTCTCTTCTCTCTGGGTCTCTGTTTCTGTGTTTCTGTACATGTGTCTTTGTCTCTTATTATCTCTATCTCTGATTGTCTCTGTCTCTCTGTCTCTTTCTTTCTGTCTCTCTGTCTCTATCTCTCTGTGTCTCTTTATCTCTCTCTCTCTCTCATTCATTCATTCATTCATTCCTGATTTGGGTCTTCATGTTTCTGGTCCTTTGTAGTGCCATATAAATTCAAAGATTTCGAATTGAACTATGTGCATGGAGCATTATTACAACATGATAGTAAGTAAATTCTGATCTACCACAGGTTATATCATATATCTTGAAACCTCACTACAAACAGTAAGTACCTGAAAGAATATGGTTAGGTAAGGAAACAGATCAAGATCTCTGTGTATAGATAGGTACAATTGTTTCATGGATCACTTTTCCCTCACATTGAGGCTTTGGGGGGAGGAGTTTCACTGATATATTTTTTGACTGATTTGGTTAAAAGAGAATTAGACGCACAAAGGAGAGCTGGGTCTTACTGGCTATGAGTGTGATTGTGGGTAAGTGACTGAACTTCGGTGATCCTTAGTCATCTCATCTACAGGATAAGAATAACAATATTTTCCTCCAAAAATTGCGGAAGGAAAATAATTTATGAAATTTAAATTGTGGCTTTCAGTTATTAGTATTCCTGTTTTCTGATTATTATGATTATGTTACCAAAATAAATGAAGCTAGAGATTTCAAAAGTGAGAGGTTGCCTTCCATTCAACTTATATTTTGATGTGCCCACTATGCACAGGGCCCTGTCCTAGGTATGCAGTTACAAAGAAAAAAATGCAAAACACTTCATAATCTTAAGGAGTTTGCATTCTATTAGAGAGGAAGGGAGGAAATACTTAAACAGATAAGTAAATATAAAATGAGGAGGGTAAAAGTTTTAGAAACTAGGCTTCCTATAATTAGTGATTCACTAGCTGAGACACAAAGGAAACTTGAGATTCTAAGAAGAAGAGATGAGGTAGTGCCTTTCCAACATGAAGGATGGTCTGTACAGATAGACAGAGAAAGAGGAAGAATTTTGAGTCTGAGGAACAGACAGTAGGTCATGTGGGCTGAAATTTAGAGTACATGCCTGAGAATAAAGTGAAATAAATCTGAAGAGGGAGCCTGGATTCAGATTGAGCAGGACTCTAAATATCAAGCTGAAAAATTGTTATTTTGTCCCCAAGGCAATAAGGGATCTGTTCAAGGCTTGAGTGCAAGTGATATGGTCAGCCATGTGCTTTAGAAAGACAGCTCTGAGACCATTTGTAGGAAGAAGGGAAGGAGCTCATAGATAAAAAGATTAAAGAGAAATTTTTCAATGGGAAAATTGGGGTTGAAATAGGAGGGATGGTATCAATGGAATAAGTAAAGGGATTGACCCTGGAGTCCACAGATACAGCCTTTATTTTGGGGTGCAAAGTCCTCTATTGAGAGGGAAGGGCTAAGGAGGCATTGAAAAATTCACTCAGTACTGTACAAATTACTGTCTATTTAAGGCATCCTTTTTTCTAGTGTTTACAAAGAAAGAGTTGGACCATAGACCTCAACAGAAGTGTTATAATGAGGTTCTTTCTGAGCAGGACAGTATCTTAATAGTTTATATTCTTTCTTACTGGGACTAGAAGAGAAGAAAAATGAGTTCAGAGTTGGGAGTCATAAGAATATTCCAGGAAAGAGTAATATTTAAGATAATTTCTTTTATTTGGAACTTACAAAGCATCAACAAATGCAAACATTTCAAGGTAGTTTATTTTTTAAAAGGAAAAATATGCATATGTGTGTATACATATACATATCTGTATATGTGTATCTATACAATTCAAGCTGTACTTCCTTTTTGTCTTGTTTTTGCATTTTGAAATACAAATGTTGCTGTTCTTTCCCTCCCTCCTTGTCTATCACTACCCACTTAGCTACCTTTCCTGACTCAGTAGAAGCCCTCCCTTGTAAATGATATGTATAGTCAAAGAACACAAATCAACAGATTCACCATGTCTGAGAATGCAGGTGTCATTCTGTACCTCTAGTCCATCACCCCTCTGCCAAGAAGTGATAGGTATTATTTTCTCATTATCCTTTTCAAGACGTGATTTGTCACTATTTTGGTCCAAGTTCTCAAATCTTTCAAAGCAGTTTCATCTCTCATGATTATTGTGGTTGTCACATAAATTGTTCTTCAAGATCTGCTGAATTCAATCTGCATCAGTTAATAAAAGCATTTCCATATTACTCCAAAGCAGTCTTATCCATCACTTCTTATGGCACCTAAAATTGCCACTAATTTCCTATACCACAGTTTGCCCAGCTATCTGCAATTGAAGGATGCAACAGGTAAACAGGGTAGGGTTATAGCAGGGTGAGCAAGTACTTCCCATTGTTTTATGTAGAAACAGCAGAGGTTCCCATGGGAAATTTCCCGTAGTCCTTCAGGCTAGCATCATCTAGCCTAAAGAAAGCCCTTTGCAGTAATACCAAATTCTAGGAGCAAAATGCAATGAGAACACTTAGAATCCAGATTCCCCAATCCTTCTGTCATGTGATTTTAGAGTACAAGGATCATCTTGGAAACTAGGAATTTCCTCATATTCAATTAGCATGATGTGGATAACATTTTCAGATGTGGAAAATGATCCTATGAGAGATCAGGAATCACAAAGCAGACTCAGTTTCTTTGGAAGGGATAAACAATGGGGGTTAGTTGGCAGAATACCATTTACATGTTTGGATATAGTCTCTGCATATATTGAAGGAATGTTCCTATTTTGGGAATTCAAATATCCTCTATACTCTTATGGGTTTTTTCCACCTGTTAAAAAGACAAATTTGGCAAATTATATTGTTAACTTATAGGGAAAAATTTGGAGGAAACAATTTTATTCATTTCTGCTTTGCTTGTGGGCACCCTGCTGAGGTGCCTTGGAATAAAATATTGAAGTAAGATAATAGAATGAGCATGGAAGAGATGGTCAGTAAATGTGTCCAGAATACATCGATAGAAATATCCAAATCTTAGTCCTCTATTTAATTTTAATCTCCTTTACTTCTAATAGGCTCTTTTCCCAAGACAGGTGTCTGGCAATAATTGCACTGCTGTGACAGAATTCATTATTTTGGGGCTAACAGATGATCCAACCCTTCGTGTCATCCTCTTTGTGATATTTCTGGGTGTCTATGCTGTCACTTTAATTGGCAACCTTAGCATAATCTTATTGATCAGAAATAGTGTCCAACTTCACACTCCAATGTACCTTTTCCTCAGTCACTTGGCTTTTGTAGACACTGCATATTCTTCAACTGTCACACCTGTTATGCTCAAGAACTTCCTTGTGGACAAAATCACAATCCCTCTGGAAGGCTGTGTGGCTCAGATGTTCTGTGGAGGCACCTTTGGGATGGCTGAGTGCTTCCTGTTGGCTGTGATGGCCTATGATCGCTATGTGGCCATCTGTAGACCCCTACTCTACTCCACCAACATGTCTACTAGGCTCTGCACTCTTTTACTCATCACATCCTACCTAGGTGGCTGTGTAAATACTTGGATTGTTACTTGTTGCTTATTAAATCGGTACTTCTGTGGACCCAACGAGATCAATCACTTTTTTTGTGATTATTCACCACTTTTGAAGCTTTCCTACTCCCAAGATAATCTTGCTGATATTCTTCCCGCTGCCTCTACTGGGCTAGTGATTGTGATCACAGTGTTAACTATCCTGATCTCTTATATATACATTCTCTTCTCTGTCCTGAAGATAAGTTCCACTGAAGGGAGATCCAAAGCATTCTCAACTTGTACCTCTCACCTCACAGCAGTCACTTTGTTCTATGGCACCATTACATTCATTTATGTGTTGCCTAAGTCCAGCTACTCAACAGATGAGAATAAAGTGGTGTCTGTTTTCTACATTGTAATTATCCCCATGTTGAACCCTGTGATCTACAGTCTAAGGAACAATGAAGTAAAAGGGGCCCTGAGAAAATTCATGAGTAGGAAACATCTTTTTTTCATGAATTCAACTGAATAAATATTATTAAGTACATCCTATGTCCCAGGTACTGTATATGTTTGGGGATACAAGGACAAAAATAAAACTTTTATTTTAACAAGGATCTAATATTTTAACATATATAATGGTTATGATTAAGTGATGCAAATTAATGGGCTTTTGAAAAGGTATATTTTCAGGTTGATGGGTTCAATTTGGGAATTTAAAGGTTGATTGCAAAAGTTTGGAAATACATGTGATGTTCTACAATCATGGATTTCCCGCCTCTGCAAAGGAGTATGGAGACGTGTCTTCTCACTACTCCTTTGGAACCATAATTGTTTTTTGGAATTTTATAATACTCATTATCTATTGATTTGTGGGGTTGTTCTTTCCATTTATGTAGCTATAAACACTGTTTGTGCTGTGTTCTTGGCTTTGCTATCATTATTCTGTAACAGATCATGCAAATATTTCCTATTTTTCTGTATTAATCATATTTGTTGTTTTTTTTTTACAGCACATTAATATTCCATTACATTGGTGTGCCACAACTTGTTTAGCCTTTCCTCAATCACTGGCCATCTACTTTGTTTCTAGTTCTTTGCTACCACAAAAGTGGTGTTATAAATATTTTGGTCTATGCAGGGAATTTCCTTTCATCAATGACTACATTTGTGGCCTAATACACTTAAAAAAATGTATCTTTTTTCCTACGGGACAGCTCTTCAATAGGGGTGAGGAAGGAGAGATATTAAAAAAACTTTGTTCATGAAAAGCAAAAGATAACAATAAAGAATCATTTATAAAACAAAAATCTCCATAACATGACCCCTTTCTACTTTTTCAGCCTTACACTTTAATCCCATCCATGCCTTGTCCAATCTAGTTAGGCTGGACTATTTGCCTTTCCCCACACATGATACTCCATCTTCTGTGTCTTTATATTGCCTATCTCACAGGCCTGAGATACTTTGCTGCCCCATCTCTGCCACTTAGCTTTCTTCAAGACAGTTCAATGCCCACTTTCTGCAAGAAGTACCTTCCTGTCTAAGATGATCTTCCCTCAACTTTGTCTCTGATGTGTATGCACATGGTTATTTACATGATGTCTCTCACAGCAGAATGTGAGTTCCTAAAAAGCAGGGACTGATTTTTGCTTTTCTTTATATTCTAAGTTATAGTATAGAGCCTGGCATATAGTAAGCACTTAGAATTCTTGTTGACTGCCCACCAACTTGGCTACCCACCTCTAGATGCTCTCCAGATTTTCAATATTTTGCTGAAATGAGGAAGACATACCCAAACATGGTTTTCCATATAAACTTCCAGATTCTGGATCCTATGCTTCTCTTCATTCAGCCTAAATTTCTATTAGTGCTACTGGCTATGATGCACTCTGCAAAAATGATTACCTTTTCCATTGCTTTGTAATCTTTATTTTTTTCAAACACTAGTTTAATATTTAACTTTGATTATAATTCTGCATTGTCTATTCTGTGATGTAGTTCTACCTTTTCCCCAATATGACATCATATGGGAAAAATTCCTTTTTTGCATATCTGATCACAATCACATCATAAAATAATTTTAAATCTGATAGTGTTAGCCTTTCTTAATCTTTTTTCTTCACATTTTCCCTTTATTTTATTGCGCAATTAATATAGGCTCTTGGGATACTTATCCCAACTCACATAAACACTAATGAGTCAGAGCTCACAGACCAAGGTTCCTGCCCTCATGGTTCCAGGTTTAATTTTAAAGGATAGAGCAATTTTTCCTAATTCTGTCAGCTTGAACCCCTGTCCCCATTTCAGTGTTTTTGCCTAACATCAGTCTATAGTACCAGTTACTATCTCCCCAAATTCATTATGGTGTTTAGTTTTCCAATGTTATTTAACCAATCATCATCAATTAACTTTACAAGAAGATATAGAACAACCAAAAGTTATAAACACATGCCAGTAGACCATTAGCATGCCCTCCCCTTTATGAATCCCGTCTCTGGGAGAGCAGGCTCAAATATAAAGCCACTACAAAGCAGTGACTCTACCAACTTCACTTCCAAATGTAGCATAGTCAATGCATAGTATTTTCCTTGCTTGTAAGAACTGGCATCTTGACTGTGAAATCAAGGGTTCTGGTCTCTTCGTGGTAGTGCTCTCCTGGTGGTGTAGAATTGGTTGCCCAGAGACTCTAGTATAGACTCCGGTATCCAAACTTCTGGTAGATTGGTCTTCTGACCTTTTGAAACTCACATGGTCTCAACATTGTCTAACTGTCCTTTCACCAATGAACAAGTCATAATAGATGCAACAAATGCAGAATGAGGCTAACAATTTTGCACAGCTCTGCCTCACTTAAATCTAACTCGTGTACAAGTCAAGCCATCCCCCTCCTGATGTCATGGCCCTCTTTGAGAATGAAGGATGAACAACAACAACAATGCAGGAAATCCAAGTCCAATTCCTCCTTCTAGCATGGTGGGATTCCTGGGTGCTCAAAAGATAAAAGCTTGAAATACAATACTGGCAAAAGACCATATCTGCATTTTGAGAACCTGCCTAGCTAAGTACAAAGAAGTTTATCACCAGTAGACTGACCACCTGGGATAAAGACTGGCTGTCACAACCCATGAAGCAAAGAAAAATGTGAAGCAGCATCTCTGGGAGGGGTTGTATGTAGAAGGTAAAATGATTCAGCTAGGCTGCAGCAGGAGGTAAAGGATTAGTATTCTTAATCTATTCCTGTCTGTTCCTCACCTTTCTAATGTGGACACTGAGTCTTTTTCAGCTACACCCCTCCTCCTATCACCAAATGAGTCTTTCTTTTTTGTCCCCACCCTTGGGTCTACTCTTGGAGACTGGGGTTGTTTGTGAGCATGGGCAGAAAGGGGAAGACAATGTGCCCTACTGTGTAAGCTGGTTGGTTCTTTCACCAGACAGAAATTGTTGTTGGGCTCACCTTTTGCCTAAGGGCAACAATTAGATTCATGCTTTTACCCCATTTTGGGAAATTATAGAGTAAAAATCAATGTGATCTTCTTTATTAATCTCAGAGTTCTGGGGTATGAAGAGTCTGACACTTTTCAACACAATATTTTCTCTGTCATTTTTTCTGGGTAACCTGCCACTGCCCCTCTCTCTTACATCCCATTTCCAATAAGGAAACATACATGAACCAGAAATTGCTGTGATCAACCATACTTTTAGCTGATGCCATATTGCAATGCTAATTGAAGAAAAATATAAACAAATCAGATGAAACAAGAAAACTTCTGAGTAAACACAAGCATTCCTAGCTAGGGAGAGAGAGCTGAAGATCTGGTAAGTCAATGATTTCATTTGTCCTGAGTGGAAGGGTAACAATGATTAGTTTTACCAGACAAGATTTCCAGGCTGCTTTCCCTGTCAAAATGGATGGCACTCTAGTTGCTGTTCAAATGCTACCACCATACCTGCTCCAGTCCCTCTTGAAATTCTTGTGCATTGGGGCTAAGTCCACTCTCTTATTTGTGCACAACTTCTCACAGAATTTTTCTACGGGAAGGGGAAGGGTCAATTGAGTAAACCATGTGGAGGTCCAGGAGTAGAGGAGTGAATTCAGTATCTAGCTTTTGAGGAGGGACCTTCAGGATGCAGTCTAGCACTATCTAAGTCTCAGACTGATCCAATTGCTATGCCATATTTGGATGTGAACTTGGTAGGGAAGAATGCTATGTAGAAATTATAGCAAGTCTGAGCCCACTCACCCCAGGGACAGAGGTGCTTTAGAAGATAGTGTGTTCCTCCTCTAGGGATTGGGGAGTGGTGAATATTGGTACTTTTGTATTTGTTATATCTTCAGAGTAAACATCCCTGTGTAAGACCTTATTGATATTATTTGGAGAAATGGAACTAAGGCAGTAATCACTGTAAGCTAACAGTAGAGAAACACATTGCAATGGAGGCTTCAGCATATAGAATTAGATAAAAAAACATTGCCATAACCACTCAGTTGTACCTTAGAAAGCTGAGGGGAAGAGTTAGTTGGCATATCTGTGAAACAATAAAGCCAGACCATGCCTGTGTATAAATATTATCTTAACTATTATTACTCTAAATGTAATGGAATGCTTGTCCAGTGATCAACTAATCATGTCATGTATTTTTGCTATGAATCAAACCAAAAAACACGAGGAAGTTATAGCTAAATGGAAGATGATTCTGAAGGTTTTTTTTGGACAGATAAGAAGTAAGTTGGTAGAGCTGCTATTACCTTTACCCAAAGATAATGAGAAACATTTCATGAGACTTTCTTTTCATTTTATATTGTAGAACTTGTTAAAAATAATTTGCAAAAAGACCACCATGAAAATGACTGTAGCTTATGTGTCAACATCTTTTAAAGAACAAGACAGTAGAGAACTATTACATATGAATCCATATGACTATCTCATTTAAAATTAGATTATTTCATTGAGAATAGCAGAGAAGAGTGAAAAATGTTTTGGAAAATATGGTTCAAGAGGAAGCAATGAAAGAGTACAAGGACTGGTGATATAATTGTCTGGTTCAAGGGTGGGAAACCCGTGGCCTTGAAGCCACATGTTGTCTGGTGGTCTGGTTCATAGAACACGGTCATATAATAGCTAAGAGGCTGCACCAGGAGTAGTGCCTTTGGATATTATGTCTCAGCAAGTCACTAATGGCAAACTAAGCTTCAGATGCACAACATCATTCAATTGAACATGTATAAAAGCCCCTGGAGAGCTCCAGCCCTGAGAATCCACCTTATTTTTCTGAAAATGTGTAGATTGTACTCCCATCTCCTAGATCTTCCCAATATTTATATTTCCCTAGTGTCTTCCTGGGTTCCTGTCTATGGCTTTAGATATTCCAATAACTCTCAACTTGCCTGGCTAGAGTCTCCACCTATTAGATCCTCCATATTGATATCCTCCTTGACTTGACCCTCCCTCCAAAAAAATAATTCAAGTAAAATTATATTTAATATACTGAAAGCAAACTAAAAATATAGTGTTGAGGTTTAAAGTAGTTGATTGCCCAAACTCCAACTTGTCCTGTGGTGTTCTGTTAATACGTTTGCAGGTCTTTTTTAAGGAAGTCCTTTCAAGCTGCTCTGCTTCAAACACAGAGGGAACAAGACCCAATCATCTCATCAAACTCAAGAACCTCCTGTCCCTTTTCATGACCAGGGAGTGAATGATCCTTAGCTTCTGAGCCTCAGTTGACTCACAGCATCTGGCAACTATCCTATAGAAAATCTCCATGTCATAAATGCTGTTCTAGGCCAGGGAAATTTTATCAGGAGCCTTAAAAAGATTAATACTGCCTTCACATATGAATGATTGTCCTCACTGTGAATAGTACGTCTGTTCTAGGATGTGCAATTTCTATTAAACTGAATTTTGTAGATGGTCTTTTCAACCTCAGTTTTGTATATGTGCAATCAGTGTGTATTATGGAGTGACCAAAATGGATCTGTTGAGGTGATAAGGACAAATTTTCATATTTAATAAACACTGCGATAATCACAATTTCCTCATGTTGATCCCAGAACAATTTTTTAGAAATCCTATGGCAGATCAAACTAATTTGGCTATATTTCTATCCAATCTTGTTTTTTACTTTTAAAAATTTTGTATAACCGTACACAAAGAAAAAATAAATGAAGGCCTCTGAGAATTTTGAGAACTTAAAAACTTCTTCTGTGTGTTTGTAATTTACTTGATCCCAGTGGCATTTTAATGATGTAAGTTACATTTGGTGCTAGGATTCTCAAAGGCTTATATCCCAAATGCTATTGTCTTCTTCTAGTTATCTTCTTCTGGCATCAGTAGGTACCACTGCTGTCCTTGGTTTTCCTATAAAAATACTAAGATCTTTTTGATTTTATATCTCATTTTTGATTTTTGATATATAGCTCATTTAGGGAGGCCTGTCCTTTCCTTTTGCCATGTCAGACTTTATACTGTTTTCAGTTTTACATGAGGCTTTAATGCATTTCTCTCTCTCTTTCTTAGATCCATTTGTGATTTGGGTCATCAAATTTCTGGTTTCTTACAGTGCTATATAAAGGCAAAGATTTGGAAGTAAACTATATGTATGGGTAATTATTACAGCATGTTAGTAAGTAAATTGTGATTGACCACAGGTCAGATCACATATCTTGAAATCTCACTAAAAATAGTAAGTACCTGATAGGACCTGGTTAGGTAAAGATACCTTAGGTAAAGATCTCTGTGTGTACATGGGTGCATTTATTTCATGTACACTTTTCTCCCACTTTTTGGATTGAGGGTTTAGGGGGAAGAACTCAGCTGATATATTTGTTATTTGATGGGGTGGAAAAAGAATTGGACTTGAAGTCAGCAGAGCTGGATTTGAATCCCACATCTGAGTCTTACTGTCTCTTCCTGTCATTGTAGGTAAGTGACTGCACCTCTGTGATCCTCAGTTACCTCAACTGTAAAATGAGAATAACAATATTTCCCTCTAAAAATTATGGGAGGAAAATAATTTATGAAACTTAAATTGTAGTATTGAGTTATTAGAATTCCTGTTATCAAATTATTGTGATG